GACCCATCTATTTTCACCCCCAAATTATTTTAAAAATGCAAGTTTTCCCTGCTCTAGAAACATCATCCACTGTCATGCTGTCTTTTGTGTGACTTGGTTGTCTTCCCACTGGCTCTTTCCAGGCTTTTCTTGTGATGGGCGAAACCTGTGCACCTCCCTGGGGTCAGAGCAGGGCTGCTGCATGTTGCCTCGATAACACAGAGTGCACAGCGTGGTCCATGGGGCGTGGGGAAGAGCCTTGGGACCCCTGATGCTCCGGCCATGCCTGGGCTGTGCTCAGAGTCCTGTTTCCAGAGGAGAGACCTGCTTTCCTTGGCAGCAGAGCCCAGCTTGTCCTGGAGATGGGGCAGTTTGACTCTGCTGAGCCAGACCTTGCAGGGAACTGGAGCTCCTGATGCTAAACTGGGGAGTTTCTCCTCGTGGTTGTGGGCTGTGGCAGCTTGGCCATGCCCAGGGTGGTGCAGCAGGCAGAGGATGGACCCCTGGGTGGGCAGAGAGGGAGGCTACGGGCAGCTCGGGGTGTCAGCAGGACATTGTGCCAGCAGCTGCCTCGGGCTTTGGTGGAGTCGCTCTCTGCAGGGCGGTGGAGATGGCAGGAAGGTGCCTGTGGGCAGCGTGGCACTGTAGGTGCGGCTGTGCTCAGGCAACAACCAGAGCCCAAATGCTGTTTACCACCACCTGCTCTGTGCCGTGGGGAGTGTGGTCGGTGCACTGTGGGGTCTGTGCCGGCTCGTGCTCTGCCAGGCTGTGCTGGGATGGACCAGGACTGCCCCAAACTGATGGCCTATGGAGACTGGCTGCTTTTGGAGAGGGAAGGAGGTCAGCTGCAGGAGTGTGCTTTTGAGCCTCTGGGCTGAAGCCTGGTCCCCTGGTAGGGCTGGGGAGGCATGGCAGGGGAACTGGGGGTCATGCCGGGGTTCCTGGAGGCCAGGAGGGTACTGGAGCAGAGGCAGGTATGCTGGCTGGTGGGCTGCAGAGACTCTTGGGATCCACCTTGTGTATTGTTATTAATGGCCTCTGCCCACAAAGGAGCAGATGCTGCTGAAACTTGCTGAGGAGGTGGAGGTCAAAAGCAATGCTGGTGGCTGGAGTTGCCCCACCGAACAGCGATGGAGGAGAAGTGTAGCATGAAGCTGTGCACAGGGGGACCAAGAGTGAAACAGGAGCTGACCTTCAGGAGATGACAGAGGAGGACAGTCTGGGTGTACTCATCAGGGACAGGAGGACGTGGAGTCACCACTCTTAAATCTTTCTAACATTGCTGTCTAGGTATGGGAGGATCTGGTGGAGGGTGGTGGCCCACCACATAGTTCTGACAATCACCGTGGGAGTTGAACTAGAGCAAATCCCCAGGAAAGTAAGAGAAATGGGCAGCCCTTGTCTTAGGAGGACACCAGGAGTGTGCGTCTGGTGTGTGGAGGCTGTTGGTGTGTCAGGGGGGTATGTGGTAGGTCGGGGTCGTTGTGTACCTGGCTGGGATGGAAGCTACACGGGGCAATGTGTGGTGCGATGGTGGGGCTGGGAGATGGGTGCCGTCGCGCGGGGTGAGGAGGTGGGTGGGAAATGAGTGTTCTGGGTCCCGGTGAAGTTCAGGACTCAGTGGGCAGGGGAGGTGCCCTGTGCCCAACGACCAGAGCCTGGGCTGCCCAGTGGGATGGACTGTGCTTGCGGGACGCACGAGAGAGGCTGTGGTGGGGTCTGTGCTTCACTTTGTTTGTAGGGTGTGTTTGAAATGGGTCTGCTGCTGGGACCGCTCCATGGTTCCCACTGGGCCTTGTGTTAAAGACAATATTTTGCATGCATGGAGAATTGGCAAGCAGGCAGCTCTGCGGTAGATAGGATATGGTTTGGGATCAAGGGTTGTTTTTTTCCGCAGCAGGGACCAGAGTCAGAGCCAGCTTTTCCCTGCAAGTATGGAGAGTGCCACCAGATGCTCTGAGCCTCCAGCCGCCCTCTCCTCTTGTCCTCCTGCTTGGGGGGTGCAGCCTGCGGAGCCAGATCTCGCTGGCTAGAAAGGGCACGTGGTCCTCCTTGATCTGCAGAGCAGGCAAGGCTGTTTGCAGACAAGCAAGTCTTCCCGGAGGCACGGAGCTGCTGTGTGTCCTCCGTTCCCTGGCATGCCTGGCATTGCGTGCTGATAGGTGAGGAACCAAGGAGCATGGGGCAGCATGTGTCCAGGCTTATAGATAGGAAAGTTTTGCTTTCTTGTTTTGAAGATCGATTCTGTCCAGAGTAAAGCGTTCCGCTGGAAAACCAGCCATGTGAGACAACCAGCCAGAATCGCTCACCTAAGCACCAAGTGTGGTAGAAAAAGGCCGTTTTTGGTAGACATCAGGGACGTTCCTAAAACTCCAGGTGACTGTTGGGACGGTATCCCGGAGTACAGGTGCCTCCATTGACTTTTTTCTCCTGGCCATAGGGCCTTCTCTCAGACCTGGGTGTGTTGTGGCAGCTGGTGAGACCTATGTGTGCAGAGCACAAGGGTGTCAGTGAGACCCGTTTTAGGTGTCCTTATACTAAGCAGGAAAGAAATTACTCTGACATGGTCTCTTCAGAGACATCCATGAAGGATGTCCTGAGAAGAAAGTGCTGAGTTCTTCAAATGGTGATAACACCGCTGTGAGTCCAAAAATTATCTGCAGTAGCTGATAATGCTTCTGAAGGACAAAGTTCTTGAGGCAGAAATGGGCATATGTTTGCTGACAACAGAACCGAGATACAATAAAAAGAAAAATTTATTGTATGCAGGGGCAGTTAAAAAACAGCAGATCCTGTTGAGCGTGGAGCTGTAGGACATTGTCTCAGAAGACCTATGTTACAAATGACTGAAAACTAGAAAAACAAAGCAGCCACAGGGAAGAGAGGCGGAGAGATCACAGTGTCACCGTAAATAAAATCTACTGAAAGCAGAAATAGTTCTGTTTAGCCAAACCAGGACACACGGACACAGCAAGACTCCTGGTCCTGCAACAGCAGGGAATCGCTGGCCAGAAATGGCCCTGAGGAGCCCTGGCAAGGGGCTGTGCTCAATGCTGCAGAGGAAGGCAAAAAAGCCCCTGGGGACCTGTGCCAGTCTGTCCGGGGGAAAAAAAAACGTCCTTCCTGACCCCAGAACTGGGGATCGGCTGTTCCCTGATCATGTGAGCAAGATCTGCTGCCCAGCCCCCGGGGCTGCCCTGCTCCAGGGGACACCAGCACTGCCCGACCTCTTCCCTCCCTCCCCTGGAGGCATCTCAGGGGCTTCCAAGCATGGCAAAATACTCCAGAAGTGATAGGCCTAGGAGAAAGGATGTCATTCCTAGTCCCAGCAGGAGACCATTGGGTGCTCCAAAGTGTTGAGAGAGGAACATCTTTGAACATCTCTTACTTCCCATTTCTAATGGGTGCTGCACCTGGCAATGGAAGAGGTGTGGATGGTGGTCTCTGGGGTGGTCTCCAACTGCCAAGAATGGATTTTCTTGCTCTTTGTAGACCATTGAGTCTCAGCCTTTTCCACTGATACCCATCTGAAAAGGCCTGGTACCCTTGGGGACCCCCAGGTATTAATGTGTCTTCTCATGTCATGAATGACATTGGGTCCATTCTCCAAATCTTAAAGCAGGATTAAGGTTAGATCCAGGTTGGTATCTCGCCCTGCTCAGAGGAAGAATTGGATCAGATGACCACCAAAGACCTCTTACAGCCTAAATTCTTCCACGATCCTGTGGCTCCACAGTAGCTCTTCAATGCAGTGCTCTCAGGCGTGGGATTCAGCCTGTTGCCTGCAAGGCTGCAACGCAGCCTGTGATGCCTGCTATTAATGGCTGTGGGACCTCCTGCCACAGGCACGTGAGGCTGCCATCAGCCTCCCAACCTCTCCCAGATGTCCTGGTGCCTTCGGGGTGAATGCTGGACATGCAGCGTGCATGGCAAGGAGGAGACCTTTGAATGGCAGGAGTGACATGGAGCTGCCTGGGCAGAAGGTGCAGAGCAAGAGGTGCCATCCTGATGGGAGATGAAGGCCAGTGTGGTCATAACCACAACTGTATTGGGGTTGCCATGCTGACGTCCTTGCATTAAAAGCTGCCAAGTGGTGTCACGTCTCTTTGGCAGGCCCTTTATCCCACTTTTCTTGGGAAACAGGCATCCCAGTTCTTAATCTGTACAAAATCTGAGAGCGCTATCAGTCAAAGCTAATGAGATACGTCCAGCTTGAAGTGGACTGTTTGCCTATCCCACTTAAACATAAAAAATCTCATTGTAATAGTATGAAAGATTGATTTTGGTGCAAAATGGCCTGATAGTGAAAACCCTTTTTCGAATAAATAATTGTTCCAGAGCAAATGGGATTTCTGCAGGAATGAGCATTACTGGAAAGTGGGAACTTGCAGGACTGGGTAATAAAGTAGATTTCTTTTTTCCGTCACCTAATAATAAAAGAAAAAAAACCTAACTGAAGTGTATTTATGGTTTAATCGTTGTATTTGGGCTGTGACCTATGTGCTTAGTGATTTAATTCCCAAAGGCAGGGCTTTGGAAAGTTGTTAAAGTCTGAACATAAATGATATGAGGGTTTTTGTAATTTTAAACTTCGAAAGGATGATTGAATTTATAAACTTTGTAACTGAATTCACCAGCGACTCCCAGCATGGTGACTCCAGCATCATGTTTTCCCCTTGTTACTTGGGTCACCGGGATTGCACGGGGTTCGGTGCAACTTGTCCCCGCGCTCCATGCGCCCGTTGTGCTGGTGCTGCTTGGCTCCTGCCTGAAGCTGTTGCGGCAGGCACCAGCACGGCTCGCCTGCGGCAGCCACCAGCACGGCGCGCCGGCTTTCCTCCCCCCCCCGGCAGCTCCCTGCCGGTACCGGTTCTCACGGAGCTTTTCTACCCAACACAGGTTGTGAACGACGCCTGGAGCCCGGGATGTTGTGAGTAGGTGGTTTATCATGCAAGGATGTGCTCGCACCCTGGCTGACCTGCCTGCCACCCCGGTCCCCACGGCCTGTCCCAGCCGGCGCCATGGGAGGATGCTTCTCCAAGCCCAAACCAGGTGACTGCTCCCCACTGCCGTGCCCCCATCCCGCTGTGCGCCCATCCCACCGTCCCCGTGGGGAGAAGTAGGTCAGCAGCAGCAGACACTGGCCGGGGGAATGTTAATTCTTGGCTCCTGCAGGGAGGATTACCGGCCCATTAATCCCCCCAAATTCCTCGGTACTCTCGCTCCCAGGCAGGGAGCTGTGCGGGAGCTGCAGCAGTGCTGGGGGGCGGTGGGGGGGCGGGAGGAGAGCTCAGCCCGCACTCTGCAACCCCATCTAACCACCCGCTTCCAGCCCTTCCCTGTGCCATCTCCTCATAGCCCCGCCACGCTCCCTGCTTCTGCCTTCCTGCAGCACCTGAGGACAGAACTGCCCCTCATGCCCCAGTGTGGGTTTGCGTCACAGCTGTCCTGGTACAGAGGTGTGTGGCTCCAGCACCTTCCTTGCTGCCACAGCCTTGCCACTCACTAGCCAGCCCTTAATTTTGTCCCTGCTGGAAGAGAATGACCAGGGAAGGAGCAGGACCACCTACTGCTGCATTTCTTGGTGCTTTCTCAGTCCCACAACCCAGGCCAGGTCCTGTGGCTGCTCCGCTCTCTGGATTTTATTTTCTTGGTGAAGCTTGTCCATGCGTGCTGCCTCTGGTGGGGAAAGCAGCTGTAGGCACCTGGACATGAAGGATATTCCCCTTGCCCTGCACACTCCTGCCGTGGCTGGGCTGGATGGGCTCCCTGCTCTTTGCTGTTTGGCAAAGTAGGAGAGGAAGAGGCTGAGGTGCAGGCTGCGTAGGCAAACTGGCTGGTCGAGGGACGTCTGGTGTGAAAGCGTCAATGTTAAGCCTTGTCCTAAGCCCCTGCCGGCAGCATGGGCATGAGCAGGCACTGCATGGTCGCCTGGGCTCATCATACCAGGCAGCACCCTCATCATCCTGGCACTGGTCCCCAAGGACCAATGCTGGTGCACAATCGGCTGGTGCAGTCAGTGTTGCCGGAGCTGCCTTCGAGGAGAGCTCCCATCCTGCAGCTTGTTTTGGCCACCTAAGAGGGAGTTGAAGGATGACTCTGTCCTTGTTACCTGCTCGTGCCCAAGGGCAAGGGGAATCAGATGGTCGCGCTGATCTGTCAGATCAGTTGGCATCCACAGGTAGTCTTTGTGGGTGGAAAAATGTCTTTTGGGGACCTTTTATTGGCAATTTGTCTTCACTGCCTCAGGCAGTGGGGATTTCAGGTTGAAGGACTCAAAAGGTCAGAGGGGAGATACAAGTTGTGTCTGCGACCCACCAAGCATCCACTGAGGGAGCTCCTCTGCCTTTACTTTGCAAGGTGCGAGGAGAAAAGAAAGGTAGGTTTCAGCCCTTGACCTGTGCTGTGGTTATTTTACGGGTCATTGCAGTGCCAAGGTAATATGTCATTGGACACTGTGAACTCTTAAGTTTTCTTTCATGAAAGCCCACACTGTTTGTATCTTTCATTGAAATGTTTAAGGAGTGAAAAAGCGTCCAGGAGTAAATGCTTTTTGTTGACTAAACTTGTAAGAAACTCTGCAGGCAGTTCCACTTTTCTTTATATACCATCAACAAAATTGTGTTTAATCTTGGACTGGTGGAGGAATAAAAGCGCTCTGCAGGCATATTTCCTGAACTGCAGATTTTCATGTAGGGCTGTATTTGCATAGCAGAGCCAAATGACTGAAAATGCCATCCTGTAATGTAACACTCTTCCTGCAGCTCTGGTTGTGATTAGCAGTCTTCAAAGACTTTTGACAAGCCTTTCCCCAGCCCCTGGTTAGCACACCACTGACTGCAGTGCTTCATCTCAGTGGTTATAAAACCTGCAAATGCAGTGAGGCAAACTGATGCATTTGCAGATAATGATTGTTCTGGCAAAGAGGTTTCACAGCCTTTTTATGATATTTGTCATTCCCATTTGTTGCGGGAACCATGCACCATCAGAGCTAAGTAGTGGACTTTTCTATTTCTAAAAATCCACCTATCCCCTGTATGAATGAGAAGCAAATCATGCAGAGACAGAACAGAGCTATTTTCTCCATCAGTGCTGTTTCAACATGATGGGAATTTTTCAGATGCAGCCTGAAGTCAACAGAATTTATTTAGGCCCTTTTGAAAGATGTATAGAAGGTCCTTACCTTCCCCATCTTCTTATATCCAAGAAAGATCCTCACTGCTCCTGAGCACCCTCAGCATTTCTCGAGATAACCTTGACCTTGCACACACATTGCTGTGTGCCAGGAAGCTCTTTTGATGAACAGATCACTGGTACAAGAGCTTTGGGGAGTGGGTTCCCGCAACAGTAAATAACTATGCTGGCTGTACCAGAGGCCAGCCCTGAAGTCTGGATGCTGCTGCAGCACCCGACTCCATCCTGATATTTAAGTGTTTAATTAAGAGCTTATGTTCAAGCAGCGAAGTAATCTTCTGTTATCTGTAGTGCTGCAATCCTGTGACGCCAGATCCTCTTCTGAAGGCCCAGTTCTCAATCTCTGCATAATTTTTTTCCTCTGATTTTCCTCCGGGTCTGTGATGCATATGTGATGAGCTGCCAGCTGGCAGTCTGTGTGGGATCCCAGCACCCGCTCCAGGAGAGGCAGCCAGGTCAGGATGATGGGTAAAGGGAAGCATCATGTACCAACGACTGCTCAGTGTGAGCTGCAACAGCACCGTCTCTGCACCAGGCGTGGGAGAGCGGCTTGCAAAACCTATAAAGTTGTGATTATTTTTGGTTGCACTCTCTACTGGGCTCAGTGCTTCACGGTGGAGCAGGGCAGCAGCTCTGCCACAGCATGGCATGTCTGCAAGTGAGCTTCGTGCTCACACAGAGGATGCATTTAGCTCTAAGCAGGGAACTTGTCCCCTTTGCAGGGATGCTGCACGCTGCTGGAGGGGGTGCCGTGGGCTTTGTCCTTCTGAGCTTGGCTCTGAGGGTGCCCCCAGGCTTGGCTGGCAAGTCCTACCTCTTGGTTTTTGGGAGCGTGGCATTTGCTGAACAGGTATCTGGAGAGGAAGGGTAGAGCTGGGCACATTTGACACGATGGTTTTGTTGGTAGCGCTGTCATTTTTAACAGAAGTGTTTGGAGTCTCTTTGAGACCACCTAAAGTAGTTGTCATCGAGATTTGCAGTTAAGAGGCACCACAGGTGAGCCTGGGGGGATGCCTGGAGAGTGCAGCTCTGGCAGGGCAGGGCAGAGCAAGACCCCAAACATGTCCTGTGGTGGTGTATTTACTCCATGCTGACTGCAGGAAAATAAACCCTGCTGGGGGAAACTGGACTTTCTGGCTGTGCCCACTGTACCCTGCTGGTCCCTCCATCATCACTACCCTTGATGCTTTTCTGGTTTCCACTGGTCTTGGAGATGTCAGCACTGTACAGCCAGTACAAGGCTGGTCTCTGACCTCAGTGCTCATTTGAGTTGTGCCTGCAGCCCCTGAGCAGCAGACTCTGAGGCATTGCAGGGTTTTGTGGTTGGGGAAGGCAGACACACAGCTCTCCCTTCCACTGGCCCAGCTCCTCCATCTCCTATGGCCAGGCATCTTCATCTTACCCAGACTCCACCCAATTCAAGCCACTCTTGGCTCGTGCCACTCGTGCCAATTCTCTCTTCTGCACTGCCGTATTAACTTAGTATTTTCCTTGTTCCTACCGTTTTAAGTATTATACTTTAAATGGCCTGATACACGTAGTTTAAATTTAGCCTCTAGAAGGGCACTGAGCCATACTGGCTCAAGTCTTGGGTCATTTAATTGCCCTAAGTTTTTAAAATAATGACTATGGCCCTGCACTGCAGCCTAGCCACCTTCCACCTGCCAGCACCCTGCCCAGGGGTTGATGCCAACATTTCCAGCTTCATGTCTCAGGTGCCTACATAAAAGCAGGCAGAGGCTTTGACTTGCCCCACAAAGCTGTGAATAGTGATGGAGAAGGATTAAATTTATGGGAGGTGTAATGGGGTATTAAGGACTGACTGCCAGGTGATAATGACATGAAGCAAGGTACAAGAGTATTGTGGCCACAGCGTGAAAACAAAAGCTGAGCCAACCATGGTAAATGGGGTTGGGACGTGGTTCGTGAGTGTGCATGTAGGCGTCCCGGCAGTGCTCCAACCTAAAGGCTGAAAACCTGGGAGAAAAAAAAAAAAATTGGGTCAAAATTTATAGTCTTGACGAGAGTCTGTATTTTAAGCAATTCTATGATTTTGGGGAGCTGACTCAGGATTTTTGAATACTAAGAGCTGGCAGTGCTGAGGTGTATGTGGATGTGTGGTATTAGCACCTGCTAATGCTCAACTGTTTCATCTGCTTTTTTGTACATTCATCTCTAGATGCATACATTCACATGCTCGGAGAGCAGCAGTTGCTCTGCCCTGGAAGCTACAGCTGTCACCCTTGTTCCCACCAGCCGTGGCTGGGGCAGTGCTGCTGCATGACAGTGGGGGCCTTGGGTGGTCCCCGAGGAGTTGGCCATCCCACAGATTTGTAGGCACATGCCTAAAACTTTCCAAACAGTTTCCTGTAAGGTCAGGAACCTCTTCTAGCAGTTATAGAAAATGACTGTCAAAGCGATGGAGCGTGCTGGACCTAGCCACACCATGCCAATCGGATTTGAGAATTAAACTTGGGTTTATAAATATTTCATTTAAATGCATTTTCCGTGGTGGCAATTGAAGCAGTTTGCTGGATCAGCTCAGGTGCCACTGAGCCCCAGATTCCTGGAGGGATCATCCCTCAGGAATGCAGGTCTCTTGCCAGAGGGACACCCCACGCGGGGCTGGCGGGGAGGAAAACGAGGAGGAGAAGGGGGGAATAAAGGGTTGGGGAGAAGTGAATGGGAGTTGTCCCCCACAAAGGCAAGTGGTGAAGTGTGGGGCCCGAAATAGGAGGGGGGAAGATTTTATACCATTTTTTCTTTTCATCTGGACATTTGTCCAGCAGTGTTGGTGAGTACCGAGCGGGGATGGCTGTAAATGCTACTGGTGCCAGAGACTTGCCGCTTTTTGCATATGTTTTTCTGACCAAGAAAGAGGTGAAGAGCTCAGAGCTAAATTTCCATCTTCATCCCCGCAGGTCCATATGCCTGTGGATCAGCGAGCGCTCCAGGTGCTCACCTGACCCAAATGTAGTTTGGAAAACAAAGCTCTGGGGCATCGGGCCAAGTGAGAGATGGGGGTTGTTCCGTGCAGGGTGAATTCACCAGCATCAACGTCACCCTTAGAGCTCGGAGCCGCCGGCTTTGCTGGTGCCAGCCCGGTCTCATCCTGTGCTGCAGTTGGCGGCAGCGGCAGCATGCTGCCCGGCTCTGGGGTCTGCCTGCAAGGATGTGCAGCTGCCTTCACTCCAGATAAATATCTGATCGACTGCCTAATCATGTGAAATGACCCTCCTGTTTCTTTGGCCAGCAGTATTTCACAGGGACTAGCATAAATGGATGTTCATTATATTTCCTAACTCTGCCCTGGAAAACCTGTGTCTGCTTTTCCAAACGGCATAGGAAAAGAGTGCCGATGGAAAGCGGCCTCTTTGCTGGGTACTTGCAGGGAGCTGGGCTGCTTCTGTAGAGCTCCAGGAATAAATTTCCTCATAGCAACCTTTTTTTTTTTGATGCATGTTGCTGTGCCTATTAGTTTGCAGTAACTCCTGCACTTGGCAGCTGCACTAACGCAACAGAAGTTCACATTTTCTGTTGGTTCAGCATGGATACACAGAAAATTATTCTCCTGGATCTCTCTGTCAGAGTCCCTGGTGAATCCTGCCCCTGGTGAGTGCAAGGACTTGGCACTTCAGCTAAAATCTGCCCCATCCCCTGCCCTGCTGAGCTGGCACAAAAAGCAGAAACTTGCAGGACTCTTGAAACAACTGCCTGTCTCCAGTGCCTGGATGGCCATGGCCAGTTGCTTTTCTCTCTTCCTAAATGAACGCT